CAGACAAGAAAAAAAGGAGAGAGATGCATCTTTGAGTCCAAACAAGTAGTGAAGAAGAAAATTTATTATCCAAAACCTTCACAAAAAAGAAAAAAGAAAAAAAAAGAGCAGCCGCAGAAAGAGAGAATAGGAAAAAAGAAAAGAGCAACCAGCAACCGATGAATAGTGTAATCAATTATTAGATGATGAAAAATGATCTTGAGGACTTTTATGTCTTTCTTATCTTTGGGCAGTTATAACTGCCAAGCTCTACGTCTAGAGTATATATGTTGCTTATGTCTGTTAATCTTTTACTTGAAATAATAACGTTCTTCTCTCTACTCTCGTTCCCTCCTTCCCTCTTCTTTTCATGTGATAGACAAATCGACATGGTATCAGAGCAGCGGCGCAACTACGCCGCCGTACTCACCGACGTCGACGACACCAGTCATGTGGCTACGCCGGTCAACCAACCTCCAGCTCATCTAGTACCTGAGTTGAATGTGCAGGGGATTACAATACCTTAGGCTCACAGAAACTTCAACTCTGGCGATCTAGAAGATCCTCTATACTTAAATGCCAACGACAATCCGTCGGCCGTGCTCGTGACTCCGCCTCTTGCCGACAGGTCAAATTATGGCACCTGGAGTCTCTCTATGCGAATTGCTCTGGAAGTGAAGAACAAGTGAACGTTAGTGGATGGTAGCACAGCGCCACCGAGCAGAGATCAGCAACATTATCCAGAGTGATGATCTGCTCTTGGATCTTCAAATCGCTACATCCTTCGATAGTGCAAAGTGTGATGCACTTTGATCACGCCAAAGAAATATGGGAGGATATGAGGAAACGCTATTCGCAGAGAGATGCACAACGAATTTCAAGTCAACATAGTGAGATCCACAATCTAAAACAAGGAAATCTATCTGTTAACGATTATTACACTAAGAGCAAAACCTTGTGGAAGCAGATGAACAACCTAAGGCCAATTCCCCTGTGCAAATGCAATCCGAGATGCTCTTGTGATCTTGTTGAAGTCATCAGAACTGAAAGGGAAACTGATCAGGTAATCATATTCCTTCTAGGTTTGAATGATGATTATGATAGTCTAAAATCAAGTGTGTTGGTCCTAGATCCTTTGCCGGAGGTATACAAGGTTTTTGTTATGGCTGAAAAACTAGAAAGGCAGATTAGTTTGAGAAATTTGAATCTAGGAAACCTAGATATTAATCAGTCTAATGTTGTTCAAAGTACTTTGAGTGAACAAACAGTGGCTGTAACTTCATATAATGGTAGAAGAAACAATGGTGTTGCTAAGGCAAAGTGTACCTACTGTGGCATGACTGGCCACACAGTAGATAGATGTTACAAGAAACACGGCTTTCCTCCTGGCTGGATTCAAGGTTATAAGTCGAAGAATAAACAACAAACTACAACAACTATTCTTAATAAAGCAGACCTAGGGATCACTCATGAACAACTGCAAAAATTCATCTCAATGTTCCAGAACCATTCTGCTCAGTCATCCGGATCCAATTCCAAATTGACTGCTGCAACAACTCTGACTCCCAAATTCAAAGAGCTACAAGCATCTGATGAAGGCAAGCTCTCTATTAATTCTCTATACTTAACTGCTTCAACGTTAACTCTTCACTCGGGGGCCACTAATCACATAGTGTGTTCACTTGATTGCTTTATCAATTATCATGTGGTTAATGGTGTTGAAGTGAACCTTCCCACTAGTCAGTGCATAGCAGTTCAGCACATAGGAGATGCAAGGCTTAATGACAATTTATATCTAAAGGAAGCATTACATATCCCCACTTTTAAATTTAATATCATTTCTGTCAGCAAGCTCATACAAGATGCTCCCTATAGACTAATCTTTATGGCCAAATAGTGTGTGATCCAAGGGACTCTTGGGCAGACAACTGGTATAGCTAAGGAAAAGGGAGACCTCTACATAATGGAGGAACCAAATATGCAGAATAAGCAGCTTGTTGCACAGTGCACTAACTTGGAAACTTGGCATCAAAGGTTAGGCCACTTTCAAACCAACAAAATTCATCTCCTACGTGATGTGGATACTTCAAAGGGCAGTACTCTAGCTTGTGATGTCTGCCACCTAGCTAAACACAAACTATCTCCCTTTCCTTTAAGTAATACTAGCTCAAGTAATTGCTTTGATTTGATACATGTTGACATTTGTCAAATCTTTCCTTGACAGTGAGTTCAAGATTAAGGACTTGGGAAGCTTAGGGTACTTTCTGGCATTGAAGCTCATATGAATACCAATGGATTAAATATATGTCAAAGGAAATATGCCCTCGATATCTTAGAAGAGGTCGGTTTTCTCAACTGCAAACAAGTTGCCACCCCAATGGTTCCTGTACAGAGATTAACCAAAGAAAATGGCTCTCCTCTCAGTGATGTAGCTCCCTACAGACGGCTAGTTGGTCGCTTATTATATTTGACGGCTACAAGGCCGGATCTTACATATGCCACTTAACAATTGAGTTAATTTGTGGACTCTCCAACATCAGAACACATGAGTGTTGCTCACCGTGTTCTTCATTACATTAAGGGAGCTCACAGGCAAGGTCTGTTGTATCCAGCAAATTGTAGAATTCAGCTACATGTCTTTGCAGACACTGACTGGGCTTCTTGTCCAGAAACGCGCAAATCCATTACGGGATTCTGCATTTTCCTAGGATCTGCTCTCATCTCCTGGCGATGCAAGAAGCAAATGACTGTTTCACGTTCCTCCTCAGAAGCAGAGTATCGTTCCCTTGCATCGACTGTCTATGAGACACAGTGGATAACATCTCTGCTCAGTGACTTACAATGTAAACCAGTCAAGCCTGCCGCCGTGTTTTGTGATAGCAAATCGGCTATTGCCATTGCTGAGAATTGAATCACGTTTTTCACGAACGGACAAAACATATTGACATAGATTATCACATTGTCCGTGAAAGACTCAATCAAGGCATAATCAAACTGTTACCCGTTCCTTCATCTTCGCAAATTGCAGATGGACTTACCAAGGCTCTGCCCTCTACTGCGTTTCAGCTCTTCAAATCTAAACTGTGCATCGAGGACCTCCATGCTCCAGTTTATGGGGGGGGGGGGGGTATTAGATGATGAAAAATGATCTTGAGGACTTTTATGTCTTTCTTATCTCTGGGCAGTTATAACTGCCAAGCTCTACGTCCAGAGTACATATGTTGCTTATGTCTGTTAATCTTTTACTAGAAATAATAACCTTCTTCTCTCTACTCTCGTTCCCTCCTTCCCTCTTCTTTTCATGCGATATACAAATCGACATAAATCATAAACGGTAAGAACTTTGCCTCGAATAGTCGCTTTCTTATTCCTTGGCAGCGGAGAAGCTTTGCAAGAGAGTCAGAGATCTGGTTTCAGCTACTCCGATTGTCAACGAGACAAACATTGTGCTTGTAGGGGTTTTCACTACTCAATATATTCAATGGCAAACTTGTAATTTGTTTACAAATTGAGGGTAATTGGAACAAAAAAAAAAAGAAATCTAAATGTTAGATAAAAAATATTCAATGGCAAACTTGTAATTTGTTTAAAAATTGAGGGCAATTGGAACAAAAAAAAGAAATCTAAATGTTAGATAAAAAATTGCAACTACATGATTTAGGATCAATGGCATGCAGGCTAGTAGGGGTGTCATTTCTGAGGGAAGCACAAAGAGTCTTGAACACATGAAAAATCAATACCGCCCCCACTGAGAATTGAATTCATGACCTTCCATTTAAAAGAGTCACTCCATGCCACTAAACCACAAAGTCATTGGCAACAATAACGCTTCTCTTTGTACTAGCCTCTACAAATTCTAACCTTCCTCCCAAAATATACATTTCATAGTCGTATTCAATAATAGGACCTAAACTGGTCGGAATTAATTAAAATATGGGAACTAAAGGAGTTTACACATACAAGTTTGTCTTGTTTTTGTTTTAACACTCCTTATTTGTCTTAACATTTTGAATATAATACTCTAATGGAAGGACCAAATTTAATAAATTCTACATAGTCCCTAACCAAATATATATAGATTAGAAAAGTTGATAGTCAATAATTTGTTAAATTATACTGAATTTGTTTACTTAATATATAACATTCTAGGTGATTTTATTTCTTTAGGTCAGACCACACGATGTTCTGAGCATGCCCTAACTGTTGGAGTCACGCTTAAGCTGTACCATATTCAACTAATCTCCATCTCCATTTTTTGTTACATTATTATTGTTCCTTTACTTCATGTATTAACCTAATTAATACCATTAAACAATATAATCAACCAATCAAAATCATAATAATTTTTTTCCCAATTATAAATACCTCATTCATTAATAAAATAAAATAAAATAAAATAAAAAACAACACACAAAAGTAACACTGTAACAGCATATTTCAACTCAAACAAGTTCTAAGAAACATTACAATTAAAGGCAAACATGACAAGAATTAAAGGCAAATTGCAATGATAAATCAGTACAGTGATCCAGTTTAAAAAGATGATGAGAAGTTGTAAGACCAAACTTGATTGAAATCAGCATCAGAGAAGATCATGTCATGATGGCTACCCTCACCCCCACCGCCGCCGTTTGCCGGCGGAGGCGCCATGGCAGGAACGAACCAAGATGCAGTTGCTGGCGGAGGAGGGACACTACGCTGCTGCAGATGATGTTGCTTCCTCTTCTCCAGCTCTTGCATCTTCTCATCAGCCAACGCATACAAACCCATAAGCTGCCTTGCATCCTTTATCTCCTCCAATCTGCTTTCTCCCTTGATTACCTTTTTCATCACCACATTCATCTCCTTCCTCTCCACTTCATGCTCCTTCTTCCGCATCTTCTCAATCTCACCATTAACCCAATCTCTCACAAACTTCTCATGCGTCACCATCTTCTTCACTCTCTCCGCCTCCGGAAGCCCCCAAAACCCCAAGAATCGCTTCCTGGCTTCTTCCACACAAGGCCAAACATCAATAAGACAATCTCCCTCGTACATTGCAATCCCAATCTCTACATCGCACAACACACAAAGCTCTTTCGCTTGCTTCAACAACGCCGCCTTCTTCCGTTCAATCACCCGTTTTCTTTCCCTTTCACTCTTCATCATTAACCTCAAATGACGACCAACTTTTATTCCTCCACCTACACGCATGCTTAATTGCTTCAATGCTTGATAACACCTCTGATCTGCAGACCAAACTGCCTTTCGTATTTATATATAGATTACGGTGCTGGATTTAAGTAATTTTTTTATTTTCTAATTTGGTCGAAGCATTTATGATTTTTCCTAATATAAATATAACGGCATAATATATTAAAGCAAAATAATTATCCCAAAAAATTTCCCTCCAAATGTGAAAACATGTATTGTATTCATATTAATTATAAATAGATTCATGTAATTCCCAAAGATTTTCCCTCTAAATGTGAAAACAATTATTGTATTCATATTAATTTATAAATAGATTCATGTAATTCATGTAATTTAACATGTTGAGTATAAGAAAAATATAATATTAGTTACTATTATTGTTATATATATATATATATATATATATATATATATATATATATATATAGATTATAGTGATTATTATAGTAATAATAATTCAAATACAGAACGAATTTTTCACATATAGAAACGCAGAACCATGCAGCCTATTAGCCTTAACGAATTATTATTACTATAATCACTATTCACTAGAATTTATTATTATTGTTATTATTATTATTATTATTATTATTATTATTATTATTATTATTATAATTGTGATAATAATAATTATTATTATAATAATATAATACTATACTATAATAACGAATTAGCGAATTTATAAATAAATTCATGTAATTTAACATGTTGAGTAAAAGAAGAATATAATATTGTTACTATTATTATTATTATTATTATTATTATTATTATTATTATTATTATTATTATTATTATACTAATCATAATAATTCGTTAATATAGTATAGTATTTTAATTAAATTAAATCATCCTTAATTAAATTAATTAAATTAAATCAGTCTATATATTCAGTATTACAAATAATCATTCTTAATTAAATTAGATCATCCTTAATTAAATGAAATCATCCTTAATTAAATCATAATTAAATGAAATCATCCTTAATTAAATCATTTAAATTAAATAATCTTATATATTTAGTATTACAAATAATCATCCTAAATTAAATTCAATCATCCTTAATTAAATTATTTAAATTAAATCAACCTTAATTAAATCAATCTTTAATACAAAATGTAAGATCAGCCTTAATAACAACACAGAAACGCGGAATCATCCTATTAGCCAATTATTATTACTATTGATGGATAGCATACTAGGCCTATGCCACAGGGACCGGCCCAAGGAAGCGACGGGATAAAGAAAGCCCAAGAAAGATATACGATGCGGAGCAATAGTTATACTGTGCATCTGTATGCACCATGCATGGTGCATACGGATGCCAAAACGACGTCGTTTTATTAAAAAACGCGCGTCTCCCTTTTAAAAAAATTCAGATTCGATTCCCAGCAACAACATTATATTGTTCATTCATTCTGGAATTTTAGTTCATAGATTATGGAATTATAGTTCATTGATTATGGAATTATAGTTCATCGATTATGGAATTGTAGTTCATCGATTCTGAAATTTTAGTTTATAGATTATGGAATTTTAGTTCATTCATTGTGTAATTTTTAGTTCATAGATTAGATTATGGAATTATAGTTCATCGATTATGGAATTTTAGTTCATATGTTGTTGCTGGGAATCGAACCTGATTTTTTTTTTAAGGGGAGACGCGCGTTTTATTAAAACGACGTCGTTTTTGCATTCGTATGCACCATGCATGGTGCATACGGATGCACATCATAATTTGCACGATGCGGAGCAACTCAAGAGTTTGTTAAGGATTGGGCCTATTATTCCCAATATAATCCGAATTGGATTCATTATTTCTAGTATAGTAGAATTAGGTCTTATTATTTTCAATGTAACACAGACTCCCGATATGAGGTAGTCTAGGATTCTTATTTCTTGTAGGGCTCTTCGGCCCAAGTTATGTATAAATAGACCCCTCACATAGAGGATAAATGACAACTTTCAAGATTCACAGAGCAATACTTATCAATACAACATTCCTACATTTTCGCCATATATTTTTCCTATATTCTCGTTGATTCCAATGATAGTGTTGGCTTGCCGTTGACTGTCCAAAAGTCATAAAACCAACATTTGCGTCGTCTGTGGGGTTCGATACGAAAAGTTAACGTTCGTTCCTCAAACCTAAAACACACGATCAAAACCCTAATCATGGGGAGCACTCAACGTGGCACCCGCACTGGCCGACCCATTCGAGATCTGCAAGAAACTCTCAAACCAGCCTACCTCTCGCATGCTGCCCAGTTGGTCAGTGCTCCTAATGGATGGTGGCAATCTGGAGAATCATCGAGACGAGGGGGAGATCCATCCGAACACACGCCCACCAGTCACTAGCTGTAACACCCCCGATTTTTAAAGCCAAATTAGAATATCTTCTCTACTAAAAGATTTAATACAAATGCGGAAGCAAATTTAAAATCTAAACCATTGGGGTGCTACGCCACGCTTGGGCAACCAACTAAGCCCAAACGCACAGGCTATAAAGATTCTGATCAACAATACAACATTCTACTTTCCAAAACACAAGTAACTAAAATTCAACAATTCAAGTTTTACGACTAATCAAGCTATACAAAATTCAATCCAAGACTACAAGCTCTACGCCGAGCTCTCAAACTAGCCACAACTCCAAATCCTGAAAATAAAAGGTTTAAGAAAAGCACAACGAACAGAATTAGCATAAAATGCTAAGTAAGTTCTACTCCGCCCTGTAAAAATATTTACATTTATACTTTTCAAAATAGATATACTTTGTAAATAGGTTTTGAAATCATTTCAATCATATAGTTCGACTCAACATCAAAGGTAAGTAGTAAATCATTTTCCAAGATAGTTCTCCCAAAATGAATTAGGCACCAATGCCATAGCACACTCTCAACTCAAAATAGCATTAGGTTTCATATTAGTAATAAGGTCCCCAAAATAGTAACATTTACTCTGTCCAAAACAATACAACTACCCTATAAATCATTCATTCATTTCCCAAAATAATAAGTATGGAGGATTTAGAAATATCACTTCTTAATATAATACTTCTCAATTTAAGTTTCATTTCAAATCGTAATTTTCCAAAGCATAGTATACATATACAAGCATGTATGGAGGAATACACAATAGCATAATAATATATCTCTTCAAGTCATCATATCAAGGAATAGATTTCTCTCAAGTCATTCTCAAAAACATATATGTCAATAATAATAGATAGGAAGGAATTCAAATCATATTTCTCAAATCACTTTTTCAAGTACCACATGTCCATATACTCTCATATATATATATATATAAGGTGAAAGGGACGAAGGGTCTTAGATCAACTAAGCCCTAGTGACACGGTAATCCACTCTACCGGCCACTCCACAAGTTTGTCCCTTTCATGGGGTAATGGACTAAAACCTTAAGTGTGCACACCCCCTAATTGGCTTCCCCCACCCAAAAGAGTAGTAACTAGTTGGCAGGGTTGTCGAAGCCCTACAAATTTAATACTGGCTCACTCCACTAATTTGTAGTAGTGGCAAGACCAGGTCGAATCCCAAGAGAACTAATGAGTTCGTTTCTTAAATTAAAATGACTCAAAGCAAGGAAATTAAAGTGATTCGCGAGAAATAAATAAAATCAATAATAATTGTAAACAAGTTCAAGGATATTGAGTTCTGATTCAAGGTAAAAGGAATGTTAAAGATGTGACTTAGATCATTGGCTCCTACGAATACAATTTAGATTCAAATACTTAGTCAAAGACTAATTAGGATAGCCATAACTAGTCTTTGATCTCCCTAAATTAATTGATTCGAATTAAGCATTCAAACCAACAATTGTTATTGAATAAACTGGGGACGATAACGTTCCATATTCACCCACTAACATCATTACACTTAATGGAAAACAACCAAGCCTAAATCACAGATTGAGATAGCTACAATCTGTAAGTTAGTCTTCATGTCCTTTATAAGCTACTGGGTCTAATTGTTTATGACAATTACGGATCATAAATTCATAGATAGTAGTAGGAAAATCAATAACAAGCTAAGTTGTCAATTTAATTCATTATCAACATTCCCTGGGAATTTTAACTTCAAAAGAACAGAAAATACAAGAATCTAGCAATTTAATTAAAATAAAACCTCCCTAAGATCACAACTAGAACTTCAATCCCTTGAATCAGAATTGAGATAATTAGCCAGACATAAAGCAAACTATTCTAAAATACTAAAAATATGAAAGGAACAATCTGCCCAAAATACATCAGAATAGCTCTCCTTTTATAGGGTTTCAAGTCAACAATCTTCCCTAAAATTACTACTCTTACCGCATATTTCTCTATCAGCCTTCATCTTCAAATTCAAAAAATTGTTTAATTCTCCACAAATCCTCCGCGAATGAATCGTTGTCGCTGACCCAAGCCCTGCGCTGCGCTATCTTCGTCTCGCGTCCGAAACCTGTGGTAAAGCTTTCAGCCCTTCCGCTTCGCTGGTGCGATGTTCGTAAACAAAACAAAAATAAAAATAATAAAAAGTAGTAAATATACGCACATCAGTGCAAGAGAACAAATTTGACTTTAACAAATACTCTAGTTAATTACCTATTGGACTCACCCAACTTACTTATTTATATTATTAACTAGTATAAACTTAATTATACTTTAAAATTTATTAACTAAGTTATCTAATCCTAATATAACAAAATATACTAAATTGATAAAATATAAAATATAAAATATAAATAGTAAAACTAACCTATAAAATGTTATTTAAATCAAGGCATAAAATATGCTCATCAAAATTCCCCTACACTAAAACTATGCTTGCCCTCAAGCATATCTTTATCATTCTAACATAAACTTCTCCAACTCCTTTCAAAGCCACCTAGAAATATCTCAAAAATTATTATATATTTAGGGGTTAGAAGTGAAACACACTCAAGAGAACAAACATGGTTTATTGATAATACTTAATAATAATAATAAAATAAAATAACTCACTAGTTTTATCAAAAGTCAATGAACAAGACTTAACACCCTCACAAGGATTCAAAATTCACTCATTGCACTCATAGTGTTTAAGGTGTAGTGTATCAAACTCTCCAATCAAAACATAGCAAGTAATCCCATAAGCTTGCAAGTAAATCAAATCTCCACCACTAACAAACATGAGTTAAACCATGAATCAAAGGGTCTTTATTGAAGGTTGTAACTTGGCTAGGGACAAGGGATATGGTAAAATGAATTTTTAGGCTTATCAAGTTGAAGGAATCACATAAGCCTTTAACACAAAATTTCACTCTAAGCAAATTTCAAAGCTCTGAACAAACCTTCATTCCTCCATCGCCTTCCCATTTCATTTTCATGTTTTTTTACTTCTTTCATCATTCAAACCATTTTGCTGCCTCTAGTATACAGCTTTATTCAAACTCTTCTTTTCTCTTCTTCTTTTTTTGCTTTTTTTTTCTCCTTAACACTTTTTTCAATCCTCCTCATTCTTTCCCTTCTGCAAACTTCCCAACTTTATTTCTCAAAGAAGGAACACTACTTCACATAAAAAGAATCATCACTTGGATAAATTAATTCAACTCCCAATAACAAGAGCTATAATTTCAGTTTCCAATTGCATCCTGAACCCACAGTAAACAATTTATTGCCCATAAGAACAAGCAAAACTTTGTGTAGATAGACCAATATGATTCCTTCAATTCAAGGGTTCAAAATTAATTGGGGGAAATAATCAAAGAAAGGGAAAAATGGCTTGTAATGTGGTAATTAAAAGAAAAGAAAGGCTAAAAGCTCAAAGTGGCTCACTAAGAGTTAAAATGTAAGGTAGGCTTTTTGGCTGAAAGTGACTCAACCTAAGTGCCCTCTTTATCCTCATGTTCTAACCCACTTGAATGTGGTCTTAAAATGCATTTAAGAGCAAGTTCTAGCATACACAAGCCATGCTTGATATCACAGAACAAATAAAATTGAGCAAAGTGTTGCTCTTTAGGCACAAAAGCTCACCAAAAGGGTCAAATTGCATCAAGTCTTTGCTCATTTTCATTCAATAAATCTAACAAGAATTTTTAAAATATAATTTTTTTTGTATAAAAGAAAAATAAAATCATGCTTGCTTCTCTCATGTGTTAAAACTCTAAACCAAAAATATACCATAACTTAAGACATATCCCTAAATAGCAAGAAAGTAATCAAAACAAGTCATCAAGTCCTATTTACCCATTATCAGTGTGCAACACTCTCCCCCACACTTAATTCATGCATTGACCTCAATGTATGCACACATAAAAACTTCACATATTCACAAAGAATTTGAGCATATTCTAAAATGATGACTTATTTGAAAATTAAAAATAAGTAAACAAATAAAGAAAAAAAATGGATTATTGAATTGGGTTGCCTCCCAAGAGCGCATTCGTTTAACGTCGTTATGCCCGACGTAACCTCAAATTTGTTTTTATCAATTAAAGTACTCCGGGAGGGCTAAATCAACATCTTCCAAACTCAAAACTGCCATTCCCTCATGAAATGGTTTCAACCTGTGACCATTAACCTTAAAAAGTTTTCCTGTATCAATGCTTTTAATCTCTACTGCACCATAAGGAAATATGTTAGAAACAACAAAAGGTCCAATCCAATGAGTACGTAACTTACCAGGCATAAGCTTCAAACGAGAATTATATAACAAAACCTTTTGGCCTACCTCAAAATTTTTTCTCAAAATCATGTTGTCATGGAACATCTTGGTTTTCTCCTTGTATATTCTAGAATTTTCATAAGCATCTAACCTCAACTCTTCCAATTCCTGTAACTGCAATTTCCTTTCTTCACCAGCTTTCTTCATTCCCACATTACAACGTTGTACTGCCCAATAGGCTTTATGTGCAATTTCTACTGGCAAATGACAAGCTTTTCCAAAAACCAACCGATAAGGGGACATCCCAATCGGAGTTTTGTAAGCTGTCCGATAAGCCCGTAGCGCATCATCTAAGCGTAAGCTCCAATCTTTTCTACATGTGTTCATAGCCTTTTCCAAAATGGATTTTACCTCTCTGTTGGACACTTCAGCTTGCCCATTGGTTTGGGGATGGTACGTTGTAGCTGTTCTTTGATGCACTCCATACTTCTTGAACAATGCTTCAATTACTTTATTGAAAAAATGACTCCCTTGATCACTTATAACAGCACGCGGAACTCCAAATCTGTTAAAGATGTTAGATTTCATAAAACCTGCAACTACGGAAGAATCATCAGTTTTGGTGGCTTTTGCTTCCACCCATTTTGACACATAATCAACCGCTAACAGAATATATTGAAAGCCACAAGATGATGGAAAAGGTCCCATGAAATCAATGCCCCACACATCAAATATCTCCACAATCAAAATAGGAATTTGAGGCATTTCATTCCTACGAGATAATGAACCAGTTTTCTGACATTTTTCACAAGTTTTACAGCACAAGTATGCATCTTTAAACAAATTTGCCCAATACAAACCACTATCCAACACTTTTCTCGCAGTTCGTTTAGGACTA